TAATCTCGCCTGAGGTGCACACTGTTTTCAAACTGACAAATTGTTCATAACTGTTCATAATTGCCCACTATCTCGGTGTTTATCTTCTTTTTGAGCATTTTATGAAAGCAAACGAGATGATCTTCCATCCAGAAATGTAAGACTCCAGTATCATGGTCAGTTACGCAGCAAGCCAAGCGCCTCGACCAACTCCAAAAATACACATAGCTGACCAATGTGTATTTGAATATCTAGATGTGACCACATGAAAATCCCCGTCTGCTGACACATTTATCAGACCGTACAGACGCCATGCAGCCACACCCCATCACTCTCTTGCCTTGTCTTGTCTTTGTTTCATTTGTGTCTTAACTCTTGAGCAACACACAGTTTTTGCACCTGGGTGTGAGGTTTCCAACAGCATCACTCCAAAATGCAGTGCACTCCCATATGTTTGATGGGTTCAATGCACGTTAGCACAGCAAGTAGGCCTACACTGATTTACCCAACTGATATGATTTGCTTAAAACTATATGTTTAATTATTACCTAAATTTAATTTAGTTTTAAGTCAAATGCTATAGTTGCACTTGCACTTGTGTCAGGGCGTGCAAGTAAGCATTTATCAAGACGCTCAGTTTCACCCAAGTCAACTGTTTGTGCATGTGTTAGTGGAGAAACTCTTTTTGCGCAAACACATACCAAAGAAGTAATATATATTTAATTATATCAAATAGCCTCCTAGTATTTAAGGTATCCAACCATTTGGCAACAACACTGCATACTTGTCGGCGTGATTAAACTGCTAGACTGCCACCTGCTGATTGCGATCGGCATTGACGTAACAGTACCATTTCTGTCCTGCAATGCACCTTTGTGGAAAGTCTTTAGGACTATCATCGGCATTAACATACATTCACGAAGTCTGTGCTTAAAGTCTTTTTTAACATTAACATGCAACAATTGAGTAATGTATTATTTATAGTAGCTATTATAAGTGAATTGCATATCAATATGGAGGCCCAAGGCAAACATTTTAAATAAAGAAATATAATAATAAATAAAAAATGAATGAATACAAATGAAAGTTAAAAAAAATAAATT